AAAAAAACAAAAAAAACCACCTGAACACAACGCTGTACCTCACCTTACACTCTTAGGTCAGTCAGCTGATTTGGGGGTACATACGCATAAATAAATAGAGGAGACTGTGGTGGGATTCTGCAAGTGCTTCCTCTTTCTACAAATAAAGACCCCAATAGAAATGAACCAGACAAGTTTCTGGCAGGGAGGCAGGGGAAACATCTTGAATAACCTAGGGGTAATTTACATCTGCCCACTAAAGAACCACCTGACAACTCAGCCAGACAGGAATTAGGTTCTGATCCCTCTACTGGCAGGTGGTTTCCCAAGAGATGCTTTCACATATAAAATGGGAAACCTCTTAACTACACAGAGTAGAAAATTCTAAAACATCATCCTCTTTAAACAGTAAAAAGATTCCCTTCATAATAAAGATTAAAATCAAATTATTATAGGACTTTAAAATCAACAACCTTAAAATTATAGTATTTATTAAATTCTTGATCCAAAAACTTAAGAGGTTTTATATTATTCTTAATAGAAAAATTATTAAGAAAGTTAACACAGCAATTCCCAAAAGCCATGATAATCTCATGGATATATTGTAAAAGAAATGTTCCCATGGCTTGAGAGGTATCCTGATGCATGTGCAGAACATCGCATGAAGCCCAGGGTCTCCTGCCAGCTGACAGGTGGGCACAACTACACAACTGGGACAGAGGCCACACGCTGATGGCCCTCAAGACTGAGAGATCATGATGGGGGTTCACTGTGCTAGGATCTATATTTTTGCACATGTTTGAAATTTGCCATAATTAAAAATACTACAAATATGCAAAAATATAAAAATGGGAAAATAAAAAGAATGTAAACTTTTAAAAAAGTCTTTTTAAAAATATCCACTTACCTTTAAATGGAGATCCAACTTTGCATCAGCCAGTAGACTAGTGTACGTTGTAAAGACTTCCAGGAATGAGCTGTGATTAGCACTAAAAGATACAGATGAATCAATCTGTGGGGAAAGCAAGAACAGAACACATTTCTATATTACACTCTTATCTCCTTCAGAACTGAACTGTCAACTTGTCCTTGGGCTTCACCAATATTTCAACAATCTTATTCTGGAATATTTTACCATGTTTCTCCAAAATAAGACTCACCCAAAAAATAAGCCCTACCAGGATTTCTATGCATTTGTTAAATATAAGCCCTACCCTGATAATGCATTTTGGTGTGGAGCAGAGGACACGCCCTGAAAATAAGCCCTAGTGTGTCTTCTTTTGGGGAAAAATGGTAATACTATCTAAGAAATAATAATAAATAAATAGTAGAAATGTAAAATGTAAAATAATAGGAAAAGAAGAAGTATAAGGTAATTAGACAATTATCCCATCAAAATATTTATTAAACCAATGAGCTTTTAAAGCAACTTTCAAAAATTTTTATTTATTTTTTTGAGATAGAAGCGACTCACTATGTCGCCTTGGGTGGAGTGCCGTGGTATCACAGCTCACAATAATCTCCAACTCTTGGGCTTAAGCAATTCTCTAGCCTCAGCCTTCCAAGTAGCTGGGACTATAGGCACCCACCACAATGCCTGGCCATTTTTTTTGTTGTTGCAGTTATCATAGTTGTTTAGCTGGCCAGGGCTGGGTTCAAACCTGCCAGCCTCAGTGTATGTGGCTGGTGCCATATAACCACTGTGCTACGGGTGCCAAGCCTCAAAAAATTTTTAAGGATGTAAGTTACGGCTCAGTTCCCATAGTACAGTGGTTATGGTGCCAACCACATACGTGGAAGTTGAATGGTTTGAACCCAACCCAGCCTAGCTAAAACAATGACAACTGCAACAAAAAATAGCCGGGCATTATGGTGGGTACCTGTAGTCCCAGCTACTTGGGAGGCTGAGGCTAGAGAATCACTTAAGCACAAGAGTTTGAGGTTGCTGTGAGCTGTGACATCACAACACTCTACCAAGGGTGACATAGTGAGACTATCTCAAATTAAAAAAATAAAATAAAATAAAAAAAGATACAAGTTACATAGTTTGAAATCACAGATGTGATGGAATGTTTTCATGTTTCTCAAAGCACCTGCAGTATCTTTGCCAGTAAAGCTAGCACTGCCATTTTGCTTTCAGGAGTAGAATCCTTGGCCCACCACTTGTCAAACTTTCTCCAGTTTTGTAGAATGGTAGTGGCAAGTCTCCGTCCTTGATGCTGAAGTCCTGCTCGGTCCTTGAAGCTCTGATCTAACATCCCATTCAAAACGGCACTCACCTGAAACAATGTTGTGGTGATAAGGTAACATAAGGCAAAATTTACTTTCATTTCAAAACTACTCTTCAAAAATAAAGATGCTATTTCTATATTAGAAGTTTATCTACCTCAAAACTCCTCAAATTTTATCTGAGGGGCACTCTACCCACAAATTTTCCCACACAACACACAGGGTGGGCACATTTGTGTCACCAGGCTTACCTGGCTGCGCCAGGTTTTCTTATTTTGGGGCACTCCCGATGGAACTCCACGTGCAAGAAGAATGAGCTCTTTTCCACCAGCATAGCCACCATGCAGGTGCACACAGGGACCCTGCGCACATACCCTAGTCCCTGCATCCCCCACCCCACAACAGAATGAGAGCCTCATCCTGGTCAGATCAGCAGCCAGCACTTCCGCCACGCAGACAGCGCAAACATGTTCCACAGACTTTTCAAGTGGAACACAACTGACATTTCTCTTTTGCCCTTTTTGTTCTTCCTGAAGTTAACCCTTGTTTGCTTTCTTTGCTGTTTGCAGTATGCCTTTCATTAATTCATCATCAAACTGCCCAAGTTAATAGATCATCTCATACCATCTCCACGGAGACTCAGCTCCCACCTGGCAATGCTGGTGTAGCCTGGACACTTGGGCCACTCCAGCATCAGGGCCAACTCCCTGCGATCAACATGTCCTCCTTCCTGGCCTGCTGCTTTAGGACCCTCTCCCTCTGCTCAGTGGCCTCCCGACCAGATGGGGCAGGGGGCACACTCCTTTGGGATCTGCCATGCCCCCAACATCTGCATTCTACTCTTAGACATGGCCAATGGTCTGGTTGGATCTGGCTCAATTCAAAATCAAAACACCAGGCTGAGACTTCTGTCAGGAACTGTGGAGGAAATTTGGCCATCAGTCTCATGGCATTCACACTGCTGTTGAGAAGACAAATGTCACTCAATTTCTTGATCCTTTTATACATAGATGGTTTTTCTCCTGTAGAAATGTCTCAGGTTTTTCTTCCTAGTCAAAGACCAGGGTTCTTAATTCCCAAAAAAGTGCTCCCCCTGCAGCCATTTCCACACACTGCGCTACACCCTCCCCCAAAACTCTGCCACCTGGAACCTCAAGGCCTCCATTCCCAGGGGATTCTTGAGCTGTAAACAGTGAAGTCTCCTGCCCTGTGCTCCAGCACAGAGACCTGCTACTCAGTCTTGGGCTCTAGCCCCAAGGCTCTTCCATATTTCCCTATTTTCTGTTTTATTTTTAACTCTATTCTCTATGAGAGCTCCTTGATTTTATCTTGAAATTCACTTCACTTTTATTCTCTGATGCCTATGTTTAATTGCCAAAAGCTCTTTTTTAATTCTCTGATGTTCTCAGAGAACATAATTCTCTGATGTTCTTTTTCATAGCAATTATTTTGCTGATACAATATCTTCTTGCAACTCTGAGCTTTTCTTCTTCCTACATTTCCATTTCACTGAACAGTCTGGGGACAAGTTTGTTTTTTCCTGCTGTCCCTTTCAAATCTCTTTTCTTGGGTACTTGGCTTCCTTGGCTGTGGGGTTGCATGTAAGAACAGACTAGAAGTGCTACACGCAGGACACACTGGTGGTGAGGATTGCTGTAAGGTGACCTGACGGACACTGATGTCTCTATCTTTATTTTCTGTTAGGGCTTGTCAAGATATTCTGATATCCTGCCAAGGGTATATAGCATCCCAGAAGTCAAATCAGAGGAAAGCGCCAAAAGCCTCCACATCTAGAATTCAGGTAGGCTACCCTTAATTTCCCTGTTTTTATGAAGGAATCCTTATGATTAGCCACACTGGATGTCACTATCTCCAGAGATAGTTATCCTCTGCAGAGAATCAATGGCCATCTTCTCCTGAATTGGGGGTGGGGGGGGCAAGGCCCCCAGAGCAGGCAGAAGTGGGTGCTGCAGTGGAAGCTGGCTTTCGCCCAGCGCCTCGCAGCCTCCCCTTACACTGCTCCCCATGTCTGGGTGGCTTGGCACACACAGCTACTTGTCCCCAGCTACTCGTCCACAGCTACTGTCACAGGAGCTAGCTGGGCTCTGACGTCTTTCATACCTGTCCTTTTGAGTTACACCTATTTTTACTCCAAGAAGTCCTTCCTCCTCTTCTCTGTGTCTTTTAAGATTTTTCTTTAACTCAATTCTATCACTTTAGAGGGATTTGGAGAAGTAGAGGTAAAGGTGTATGTTTGTATTTATCATTTTCTTCAGAATTTTGATGCTCAGAATGCTAAATCTCCTGACTATCCTGGGTCTACTACAATTTTATTTCTAACTTTAAAAAATATAATCCCTAGTGTAATCTGTCACAAAATATTCCCCTACAACAGACAAGTACTTTTTGGAATAAAAACCCAGTAGGAAATTATATGCTCACCCTTAAAACAAAGACGCCAACAATTTATCTATAGAGCAGGTTAAATGTCAAAATCCCAGAAGTTTAGCAAACCAAAGTCAACTATGTGTTAAATACTGATCTCCAGATTCAATGTGAAAGGCACAATAGGAACATGCAGGAATGAATGGCTCAGCCTTGATGCCCTGAGTGGGCTCTGAGTAAAGGAAGGTCCCTGGAGCTGGGACCAGTGAGACAAAGCAGCTCTGGGCCTCAGGACACATTTGAAAGCTCCAACGTCATGTCTTGGCAGAAGTCAACGTCCCACTTAGTTGTGCCTTGCAATATTAGGCCTACAGATTTGGGGGGCATGAAGGAAGGGAAAAAGTAATTCATATTACAAATTCATTAATGTTCAGTAACTACTGATTACAAATGACTGTGTTTCTGGTTTCTTTAATTTTGTTTTTAAATACTAGCAAGAGCTTTTAACCCACTATAGCGGTTATCAACCTGTGGGGGTAACCCCTTTGAGGGTTGAATGACTCTTTCCCCTTTCACAGGGGTTGCCTAAGACCATCAGAAAAGACAAACTGTATTAAAGGGTTGCGGCACTAGGAAGGTTGAGAACCACTGCAAAGAAATCTTATTTTAATTAGGTGCTTCAGGAATATGGTAATTCTTTTATAAACAGTATATAAGAAAATATTTACTTAAAGGAAAATTACATTACCATTTTGGGATTATCCACTGATGATTTCATGAGCTCCAATACAGCAAGATCTATGTTTTCCAACAGTTCAGTGTTGATTGTTTCAGAGAACAAGCTATAGAAATATTCTCCGTGGGAGAAGCTGATGATGCTTCTTGGCGAGCTGCCTGTGGAGGGTATGGACAACACCGCAGTGTCCAGGAGAAGACTCACAAGGTGACCACACTGTGGGGGAGAAAGGAGAAATTCCGCACCAGGCCTATCTCCCATGTCAAAGGAAGACCCTTGGGGAGCGGATGACTTTGAAATGAGAAAATCAAACAGTAAGGTCTAAAGAGAGCCTGGTATATGAAGCCTGGGTACAAGCTTAAGCTAGCCTTGATTTTCTAGATTTTATTTTGGGAAAGAAATCTTCCCTAACCCATGCTCCTCCAAATGTCCAGGAAATCTTATTGCTGCTGCTTTAAGGGTAAAGGCTGGCAAAAGTGAGTATTTTCAGACAATCTAAATATGTAACTACCTACAGTAAGAAGACAAAAGGGCAAAGAATAGGTTTCTGCTCCAGAAGAAAAGATGGAACAGAGCAAGCACACAAGTATGGCTGCAGACCTCAGCTACCACAGGGGTCAAAGGTTATAAGGCCTTTTTTCTTTTTGTAGTAACTCCAGGATTACCCTTCAGAAGCTCTCCCAAATCACCCATCTGAACTACCACCACAGATGGGAGGAGAGGCCACATGTCACCACAGGTCAGCTTTACTGCCACAAAGTGTTCTCTGCCTAATTCCTTTTAAAAATGAGGTAGACAAAACCTCAATTTAAAAAGAATGTTATTTTTATAAAAAAGTGTTGAGGCTGGGTGCAGTGGCTCATGCCTGTAATCCTAGCTGTATGGGAGACCAAGGTGGGTGAACTGCTTGAGCTAAGGAGTTGCAGACTAGCCTGAGCAACAGTAAGACCCCATCTCTACTAAAAATAGAAAAGGCTATGTGGTGGGTGCCTGTAGTCCCAGTTACTCTGGAAACTGAGGCAAGAAAATTGCTTGAACCAAGGAGTCTGAGGTTGCTGAGAGCTATGATAACACCACGGCACTCTACCCAGGACAACAGAGTGAGACTCATCTCCAGAAAAAAAAAAAGCCAGGTAATAGGGCTCACGCCTATAATCCTACCACTTTGGTTTGGGAGGTCAAAGCAGGTAGATTGCCTAAGCTCACAAGTTTAAGACCCGCCTGAGCAAGAGCAGGAAGGACCCTGTCTCTAAAAACAGCCAGGTGTTGTGGTGGCTGTCTATAGTCCCAGCTACTCGGGAGGTTGAAGCAAGAGGATCACATGAGTCCAAGAGTCTGAGGTTGCTGGGAGTTGTGACGCCCTGGCACTATACCAAGGGCGACAAAAGGAAACTCTGTCTCAAAAAAACATAATAAAAAAAAAAGTGTTAAGAAAATAAACTTTTAGGCTTGGCACCTATAGCTCAGCAGCCAGGATGCCAGCCACATATACTGGAGCTGGCGGGTTTGAAACTAGTGTAAGCCTGCCAAACAACTACAACCAAAAAATAGCCGGGCATTATGGCAGGTGTCTATAGTCTCAGCTATTTGGGAGGCTGAGGCAAGAGGATCACATGAGTCCAAGACTGTGAGGTTGCTGTGAGCTGTGACACCACGGCACTCTACCAAGGGCAACATAGTGAAATTCTGTCTCAAAAAATAAATAAATAAATATAAATGATGTTTTAAAAAAGAAAATAATCTGTTAGAAAGAAAGTCAGTTCACGCAAACCAATTGCAACAGTTGTCTAGCTAATACCTTAACCAAAGAAATTCTACTGTTTTTACTTAGAGACACAGCACAAGTAAGCTATGTATTTCCACTGTTAGGAGAGCAAAGCACATAGCTGTTTTTCCTACCAGTCCTCCAAAAGCAAAGGCCAGCTCCAGAAGTCCAATGGCCAGTCGCTTACAGCTGGGGTCTAGCAAAGGCAGACACTGTCTCTCATATCCAGGGGCAATGCCCTTATAAACCAGGAAAAGCAGTTTTGTGCCAACAGAGTGATGAAGATCTGTAGACTAAAATAAGGCCAACACTGAAATGCTATTTTATAGCAAAAACCCATTTTATTCCTCTGATTAGTTAAGAAATCTACTTTTAGCTAAACTGACAACTGCTTTCCAATTTTAGCTCAACTTTGTTTTCTATACTACATTTTTAAATAGTGTTGTCTCACCACAAAGACACAAAAGCAGTTTCTAAAGTTTTTCAGAAGACTGCTCTGTAAATACTTTCACTTTTTATTTATACTTTTTATATTTACTTTCATGTTTATATCCCAGGTACTACCTATGTATCTAAAGCAGTATTTTTGTAATCCCCGTTTAAGCACACTCTATACATTAAAGAATATTCAGCAAAGAATAGGAGTTATTATCATTCCAAAGCATATCATACCAAAGGAATGCAAACACAACTTGGCTGGGCTTACCTGAGATGGTAAGATTACATGCAACAATCCAGCTCTGTGAAGCTGTTTGCAGGCAGACACGACAGATGCCAGCTTGGCCCTGTCCAGGTGCGAGTCAGGGCCCCATAAGTCAATAGCACAAAGCTTCTCAAGGCTGGTGTGCAAGAAAAACAAAGAGAAAACTAGTGGGTTCTGATCTCATAAATTATCAGGAAGACTGACAGTGTATGTGTAGAAATTTACTAATCACCTGGCACTCAAATTCATTATCATAGTGTTAGAAAAATGCAATACCAGACAAGGTCCACACACGCCCATGTAGAGTGGAAATCAAATGTGGTGCTAAGCACATCTGAAGTGTACTGAACACTTGGCCCCGGGGGAGGTGCTGGCTAAGCCTATGATTTCAAATAACTGCTGAGGTCATAGACACCAACTCCCCATTGATGGGAAATTCCTGCTCCTGAGGAATGGAGCTGGAATACTTTCACTTTTTATTTATTCCAAGACTGAGCAGCTGCATTGAGCTGGGCCCACAGATTGCAGCGCTACACAGGGCCTCATGCAGCCCCAGTGCCCACCTCTGTGCTGTGACTGTCTCCCTCAGGTGGGTCTCCAGGGTGTCTTTGTAGGGGGATGTCTTTAGCGCTTTCATTAGGTTCACACAAACACGGGGGAGATGATCCATAACGTGGACATCGCCAACATTGAAACCCACGCTCACAGGCTCACACAGTGTTTTCAACAAGAGTTTCATAAGGTCCACATTACACAAATCCAGCAGCTGGAAGAGATGGTTTGAATATAAACACTTCTGTCAGCCAGCATTTACATCTTTACCAGAGTACAGAGTTCACAAGGTTGGAAATTTCCACCCACCAAGGGCAGGGGTTAGACAGAGCTTCTCTGCAGAAACTGGACAGTCAACGCTTAAGGTTTGTGGGTTACAACTCCTTACCCAACACAGCATGAAAGAGCACGGACAGCAGGTGGGGAGAGGTACTGGGCTGTCTTATAAGACTTTATCTACAAAAGCAGGCAGCAGGTAGGCACAGCTCCCAGCCCCCACTAAGGGCCTTAGTATATCCACAGGGAACAGAAAAGACCCAGAATATAGCAGACATTTAGCACACTGTCCCTGGATGAACTGAATTAAGTATGTCTATACAACAAGCCTCACAAATACATATGCAAATATGCGCCAATGTATGTTTCCTAACATAGATGTTTGATCATAGTATAAAATGCAGCCTAGTATAAAATGGTATAGTATAAATAATACAGTGAATTCCTATTTATTCTAAGATCATAGTATAAATGGAGCATAATATAAAATGGAGGCTGAGGCAAGAGGACTGCTCAAGCTCAAAAGTCTGAGGTTGCTGTGAGCTGTGACTCCACAGCACTCTACCCAGGGCAACAGAGTAAGACTCTGTCTCAAAAAAAAAAAAGTTAAACCCACTTGTAGCAGGAGCTTTTAAAGAATGTATCCAGTACCTAGTACAGACCTCACAGTAACACAGTAGGCAGGAGAAGCCTACCTTCCACCCTTCCGGGGAGGTGCTGAGCAGGGTGGTGGTGAACTCCATGATCCGGACTATGACCGTGCACTTGCTGTAGTTGTACATTTCCCCTTCCTGTGGGCTAGGCCTGTGACTGGCTGCCCTGGTGCCAAAGCACCTTTCCGCTGCTATAGTATCATGCATAGCAATGCTTTCTAAAAAGAAAGCCACCGCCTTCAAAAGTGAAGACTGTGTTTCAGCACCTAGAATAATTACAGTAAAGTATTAATATACGCTTTCTTCCAACTCTATGATCAACATAAAAATCACTTCTTTAAGTATATGTCCTATACACTTTTAGTCAAGATTCAAAATTTCTCAAAAGAAAAACTTTAGACTCATACAATGAGAACATATCTATGGAAGATTAGGTCTAACATGATCATTTTAAAGGGCAATCTGGCAATTCTTACTATAAACTTTGAAATAATAGAATTGCATTGCAAAGATGTGTAATAACATTCACTTTAGATGTAAAAGTAGAAACAACCTAAATGTCTTGGTGACGGTCTTCAGGTGGGTGTGGATGGCCACTGCTCATCTCCTGAAATCAATTCTCAGGTCAAATTCCAAACAGGATTTTTCATTAAACTCACCTGTCTGAAAACACATGTAGGCTGATTCTCCTCTCCCATCTCTGCCCCATTCACCACCCTGAATGCTCACAGAGACAGACTCGCCCAACCTCTCCCAAGTCCCACCACTGCTTCCTGCACTAGGGTGAAAAGATCTTCAGAGCCCAGATAAATGAGACACTTTAAAATATTCGTATACATATCCAAAGAGTGCATAAAAGGTAATGACTGAGTAAGACATCCTTTTGGACAACGATCCCAGTAAGTATAAAAAGAGCATAGGTAAGATTTAAAATTGTATAGCTAACATTGTTTAAAGTTTCACACCTATTTTGACTGATTCTTCAGAGCAGCACCTCATGATAATGAGTTAATTCTTTTCACACGTGTATAAAACCTGTTCCTGAAACTCAGCACGTGTGTGCATGTGCACAGATACACACATGTACATGCGCGCACACACACATGCACGTACACACACATACTGTACCATTATGCCAGGCCTACCATGTTTGAAGCTACAAATAAGAACCCCTGGCCCCTTCCTCCCAAATTCCTGTATTAGGGACTTCTCTAACAGAAGGGAAGAGAGAATGATAGTTCCTTTAGTAAACCACCATTCTAAGCATTAGAGTAGATAGTCCAAGTTAAAAATCATTCAAATAATACAATATATTCTGACCAGGAAGTCCAAAGTTTAGCCCGAAGGAGAAAGAACCAAAAGCCTCACCAGAGAATGCAAAAAGGGAGCTCACCTGTGGCTGGTGGTGCTCTGGGGCTCCTGCCAAGCACTGCTCTTGCCTGGACAGTCCCCTACCCCCCCACCCCCCACCACACACACACACACACACACACTGCTAGGGTTGCCCCTGCCCTCATTCCCAGCTCAGGCTAAGGAATACACAGCACCCCACCTTGTGCTCTATCCTTTGCCAACACCACCATTATTTCCACACTATGATGAAAAAGCTTAAGGATTATGAAAATGTAAGAGAAATGAAGGCACTCAGCAGGAAGAGCTCTTTTAAAGTGTTACACACAAATGAAAACCTTGCATGGCAATTTCATAAAAGGTTGAGAGCCTGTGAAAGGGCAAGGAACAGAGGCTCCGTCCAAGCCCAAGTAACCTCCACTCTGCCACCTGCATCACCCTTTTAGCTGGAAGACTATATGAGAAGGCAGGTGAGGCCCCTGGCACTGCATCTGCCACCATCGCCATGACTCTGGCTGGCAGTGAACTGACCACCCAGGTGCCTCCCAGCAGAACCTGGCACGCTCCCTTGGGGTAGGGGCAACCTACCCAGGAGCCCAGGCGCCTGCACAGCACCAGCCTGCAGGAAGGTGTTGTAGCACTCCAGTGCAGCCAGCAGCAGGTCCAGCCAGTGCAGCACTACTCGCAAGCTGAATGGCCCCGGAAGGTGGGACAGGGTGGGCTGGGTCAGGATGCCCCCAGGCGGACCACAGCCACCACCCCCCTCAAACGTGTTTATGAGGAAAGACACACCTTCTTCCTTGATAACCTCCTTCAGCCATAAAGAAGGGGATTTGTTGCCTTAAAAAAGAGATAGGATTAAAACACAAGTATAAATAACTTCGATATAATTAATTGTTTTAAGCTTTATGTCTAATTAAAATTGCAAAATAGTATGGGTAATTTTTTATTTTACTATAGCATATAACTTGGTTCACTATAATTCTATATTTCCACCAAAGCTGCTCTTATATTTTTCAAACATTCTAAAAATAGTTGAACACCAGTGGAATAGCCATAAATTAACACCCTTTCCCTGCCTTTTTTGTTTTGAGACAGAGTCTCAACTTTGTCCCCCCGGTAGAGTACCATGGCATCATAGCTCACAACAACCTCTAACTCTTGGACTCAAGAGATTCTCTTGCCTCAGCCTCCCAAGTAGCTGGGACTACAGGTGCCTACTACAACACTAGCTATTTTTAGAAACAGGGTCTTGTTCTAGCTCAGGTTGGTCTTGAACTCGTGAGCTCAGGTGACCTGCCTGCCTCAGCCTCCCAGAGTACTAGGATTACAGACGTGAGCCACTGGGCCTGGCTCTGCATTTTTTCTTAAAAATTATTTTTCCTGGGTGGGATCTTGATGTGTGCCACGGACCTTTTGGGGGCAAGACACAATTGTAAGAGGGACTTTATCTAACAAATGCAATCAGTGAAACCTGGTTTCTTGTACCTTCAATGAATCCCCAATAATAAATTTAAAAAAAAAATTATCTTTCCTTTTTCCTTGGGTTCTGATGCTGGCTGTGCCACCTCCCAGCTATGAAGGACTTTGGCCTCTCTGCACCTGTTTCCTCATTCATAATTGAAAACAATGATAATATCTACCTCTTGGTTAATGCAAAGATTAACACCCAAAGAGGAAGAGCTCTACCTGTGCAACTCAGAATGTGAGAGATCCCTATCACAGGCAATACAGAGAAGAGCAACAGAGACTCTGGGGTCAGCAAAGCTCATGTCCCAAGAAATTGTGTGTGCCAAAGGTGACAGTAAGTAGTTCTATTTGTGAAGTATCAGGGCCTCAGTTTCCTCTAAAAGCAAGATGGTTCCTGCCTCCCCACTCCACCCCAGCCAAAGTCCACTCTTCACTTGATCAACTTTAGAGAGCTGTTGTGAGAATAACCGAATAATATAACAAATGTCAACTAGTAAATTCAAAATACTAATGATGTTTTTAAAACAAAAAATTAGGCTCGGCACCTGTAGCTCAGCAGCTAGGGTGCCAGCCACATACAACACTGGAACTGGCGGGTTCAAATCCAGCCCAGGCCCACCAAACAATAATGACAACTACAGCTGGGCATTGTGGCGGATGCCTATAGTCCTAGTTACTTGGGAGGCTGAGGCAAGAGAATCGTTTAAGCCCAAGAATTGGAGATTGTTATGAGCTGTGACGCCACAGCACTCTACCCAGGATGACAGCTCAAGACTGTCTCAAAAAAAAATTAAAAACCTGTTTCTATTATATATGTAACGCAGTAGACAAATTTATCTATATATAGCATATATAAAATATAGTACAAATTCAATTATATTTAATAACGTGCTGTATAGTATATAACAAATAGTACAGAATATGATATATTCTATAACAAAATTAGAATCCCTCTAAACTTTAGAAGCCCAGAAATACATTAGATATACAGTAATTTTTTTCCTCTTGTTCCATGAGAAAAAGTCAGAATGGAGATCTCTACACAATTCCTACAGGCCTCTCGTCCCAATGCATGCTGTACCCTCACTATGCAGATGCTCCTGGTGCAAGGTGGCTCAGGGCTGGTGCTCAGCACGGGATTGGGGAGCTGGAGCCTATTCCCTCTGGGGGCACAGTTCCCCTACATCAAAGCTACCAAACCTATCTTTGCACTGAATGGAGAAAAGTGAAGAATAATTTACTCCTAAGAAATTCAGTGATTATTTCAATCCATAGTACAACTTCATGGTTTAGTGAACAACAACTGAAAAGCAAAAGGTCATCGCTTCCTTTAATATCATGCTGATAAGGATCGATCAGACTTAAGGTTCTGGCAATGTCTTACTAATTATGTGTTGAAATAGAATTGCATTATTTTATTAACTATTAATATTCTGAATCTTTAACTGAATGTCATATTAACCTCAGTGATCATCTAATTTTACTTCCTTTAAGTGGGATAGAAAAGTAAAACTGCAGAGAAATAAAAGATAATGGGAAATTCTTTTTTTTTTTTTTTTAAGAGACAAGAGTCTCATTTTATCACCCTCTGTAGCGTGCCATGGTGTCACAGCTCACAGCAACCTCCAACTCCTGGGCTTAGGCAATTCTCTTACCTCAGCCTCCCCAGTAGCTGGGACTACAGGCACCCATCAGAATGCCCAGCTATTTGTTGTTGCAGTTTAGCTAGGGCTGAGTTTGAACCCACCACCCTCGGTATACGGGGCCCGTGCCCTACCCACTAAGCAACAGGAACCACCTGATAATGGGAAATTCTAAATCTATTTCTTCTGTAACATTTCACTAACATCAAAGTAGCCTTTTCTTGGCGTTCTATTAATCTTTGAAAAATGCGTATTTATAATTTATCATCTATAATACAAATCCGAAATGGTTATTGAACATATATTTTTTGTATTTATTAGAAACGCATTATTCACAACATTCATTTAAATGGAAAGAAAGATCACATTTTAAATAAGTCCTCATCTGTAAGCTACTGGCAAAAGTAAAAACCTATTATTTTACAGACATAAGGATCACCATACCTGGCAATAATGGGACAAATTTATAAAAGAGCTCTATGGATTTGTGCCGACATTCCATCTGTGGCCTCCCACACTGGGCCAGCAGCCACTTGACCAGATCCAGTAAACACAAGGATTCTGAAGGAAGGAAGCCCCTGCACAGAGACAGCACACTGTCAGCACCACAGCAGCTCCCACACATAGCCACTTGCACCCAGAAACCTCATAGAAAGGCATTCAACTGATTTATAATGTATTATTACTAGATTATAATCAAAATATCACAGGTTGAATGGGTCCTAAATGCTGTTAAATTTAATTTTTTTTAATTTAGTTTTTGAGACAGAGTCTCACTATGTCGCCCTTGTTAGAGTGCTA